AGGATACTGGCCTCTGTAGAGTTCTTTCAAATACTGTCCCACACAATAATAGAATATTGTCTCAGACAATACTGGAAAACTGAACCAAACAATAATGGAACACTATCCCTGAAAATACAGGAATACTGTCAGGAAAATAATGGAACATTGTCCCAGAAAATAAAGGAACATTTCACAGACAAGAACAGAATATTGTCCCAGATAACAATGAAATGTTGCCTCAGATGGAAGACTGTCCCAGATAATAACGGAACATTGTCTGAGATAATGGAATTTTGTTCCATAAAATATAATATTGCCCCAGAGAATAATCAAATATTGTTCCAGACAATAAAGGAATGTTATCCAAGAGAATAATGGAACATTGTCCCAGACAATAATGGAATAATGTACTGGACAATAATGGAACGCTGTCAGATGCAGTCTCAAGCCCAATGGTAATTCTCTGTGCTCATGCTCCTGCTTTGTGTCTGTGTGTAATGTTTAGTGTGATGTATTTAATGCATAGCAGTTCACAGGAGGGGAACAGTCAGGGAGGGTATGTTTTTCCGTCTTCCTCTTCCAGCCAGGACAATCTGACTCTGACACGGAACTCACCATGAGTGAGGATATGGATGTGAGGATTCACCTGGAGAGCAAACACAGCGTGCACTGTATGGAACGGCCTGCGCCTGTGCCTGTGCTGTAACTCCGGCCCTACAGAGTTCTGTCTGGGCCTCCTGTCACTTTCAGGCCCCACTGTTATGTGTTGTACAAGGCACCGAATAATTCGTGCATTTCTACTTTCCTCCATTACAAACCTGGATGGACATAGGATCAGCCAGAAACAGGTACCTGAAAGATAGACTGAATGTTATCTGCAAGACCAATTCCTAAACTTTGCAGCTTAAAACAAACCCCAGAAGCACTGAAATTTCCTCCACTTGTTAATAGAAAAATCCCTGCTCAGTGATGGGGAAGGGGTCTACGTACACAACAGCACCCACCTCAAATTTCTGGCGAAGTTCAGAATCCCCGTCATCCTCAATTATGGGGACGTTGTAGTATTCGCCTTCTTCCTGACTCAGCAGCTTAAACCTGTGGTAAGGACAGAGGGGAGGAGGTTAATGTTGTACGTTCAGATCTGAAGGGGATGGGGGGTGCCTGGAAGGTGTAGTATCAGCAGCAGAGAGGTGGGGGCTATGCCAATGCACCTCCAATGATAGAGAGATTGGGGGCCCTTCTTCCTCAACAGGCGCATGGGGTGGGGGGGGGGGGGGGAAGAGATGACCAGGGTTGGGGGGGGGGGGGGCCGAGGAGTTGGGGGCAAGAGAAGACTGAGGCCAGCAAGGGGTGGGGGAGAGGAGTCCAGGGAGGGGTATAGGAGATGACTGGGGCTGGGGGGTGGGTGGGGGTTGGGGGGAGGGGGTGGAGTGGCTGTGGGGTGAGGGGGGTGAAGTGAAGACTGTGGTGGGAGGTGGGGTTGGTTCACTAGGACTTTGTGAAATCAGACACAGGGTTTGGATACGCTGGTACCACTGGGGCCAAGACATTCAGCTTCAGGAGCAATCTTCTCTCTCTCTAAACCTCCGGACCACGTTTAGAGTCGTGAAAGTCCCCTTTCTGGCCTGGCCTCCTTGAGCCATGCTCACAGTGTGAGTACAGCATCGATACTGAGCAATGTCAGCTCTGGGGTTGTTGATGTGTTCGCCGAGCTGATCGGTTGGTTTGCAGATGTTCTGTCACCATACTAGGTAACATCATCAGTCTGCCTCCGATGAAGCATTGTTGGTCTGTCCCGCTTGTTATTTAGGTGGGTCTGGTCGATGTGGTGGTTGGCCTCATTTCCGGTTTTGCTCCGTAGCGGTGGGTTTATGGGGTCTATTCCCGTACGTTTGTTGGTGGAGTTCCGGGCTGAGTATCAGGCCTCTAGGAAATCCCGTGTGTGTCTTTGGTTGGCTTGTCCTAGCATGGCTACATTGTCCCAGTCAAATTGGGGGCTTTCTTTGTCTGAGTGTATGGAAACAAGTGATAGTTGGTCATGTCTCCTGGTAGCTAGCTGGTGCTCATGTACCCTGATAGCTAGTTTTCTCCCGGTCTGTTGGATATAGTGTTTCTAAGGTTTTAGAGTAGATCTGTAGCTCGGGTTGTGGATGTTGTGGTTGGGTGGCTCGCTGAGCTGGTTCGTTGTTGTTCCGCAGATGTTTCATTACCCTGCTGGGTAACATCATCAGTGCAGCCTCCAATGAAGCCACAGGAAAGCCACACACACTGACCAAGTACTGAATTTCAACAGCAACCACCCTAATACACACAAAGTTGCTTGAGAACATTATTTAAATGGGCAACAACACAATGCAGCAGCACAAAGCTACATCAAGAAGAAGAAGAGTACCTCTTCCAAGTATTCAAAGACAATGGATACCAAAAAACTGGGTCAGAAGATGCCTATCACACACACGACAACAGGAAGATACTACATGCCCTGACACACTCATCACGCTACCTTACACCAGGAACACATCTGAACTGACCACAAGACTCCTATGACCACTGGGCATCAGAGTAGCACACAAACCCACATCAACCCTATGCCAACTGCTCATCCGAACCAAAGACCCACTACCCACAATGGACAGGACCAATGTCATATACAAGATTCCCTGCAGAGACTGCGACAAACATTACATTGGACAAACAGGAAGGAAATTAACCACAAGGGTACATAA